ACTTGCAAGTTGTGATGTTTCCATGTATCTGCTGCCCCTGTCCTTCTAGACTGGAAAGGTAAAGGTGCTATTTAAGCAGCCTTGGTGAATTTCTGCTATGCATCTTGTAAATGGTATACACTGCCATTACTAAGCATTGGTGTGAAAGTAGTGGATGTTAAGTGGCAGTGCTGCCAATCAAGCATGCTGTTTTGTTCTGGATGGTGTCAATTTTCTTGAGTGTTGTTGGACCTGCACTCACTCAGACACGTGGAGAGTATTCCATCACACTCCTGACTTGTGCTTCATAAATAATGTACAGGCTTTGGGGAGTCAGGAGGTCAGTGATTCACTGTAGCTCATCTTCAGCAACCACATCATTGATATTGTAGTACATCAACACTGGCATTGTCATCACCAGCTGTTTGAAGCAAATAATAGCTGTTTCTTGTTCTTGTGCATGCTGCCACTTGCATCTTCTAAGCGTGTGGGTTCTTTAGGAACTTACATGGGCTGGAGTGTGCAAAGGTCGCCATCTCTGTTCTAACTGGAAAACCCTGATAGAGTAAGCAAGATGCAGTTTGTTACATCTCTGCAACAATTTACAAGTTATAAGAATGTAGCCTGCATCATTAACAAGACTATTGGGAGGACACAGCCTTAGGTGTGTCTCCCATGAGATCTCATGTTACCAAATCTTAATGATACCATCAAAGTGAGTGAAGCTTATGACACTCAACTAGGCATTAACCTTTCTAATTCTCCCCTACCCATGTACAACAGCTCTGTGCACTAATAGCACTGCTATCTTTTGCAGTAGGCTCATGCAAATGTTCACATTCTGATGACAAACTAGACAAGAACTTTGCTAGGAAGTGCATGAATCCAACAAATTATTGAAATTGTCCACATCTGTTGGTCAGTGCATCTCCAGCACATTTCCCACATTGTTAGGATCAGGGAACACACTGATTTGCTGTCAGTACATGGCCCATGTGTTTATGTTCAGTCATCTTTAATTGCATTATTTTTTGTTCAGTTTCAGGATCATCTGGTGAGCTGTGTCTGGCAGTTGCATTAGATTCTGACAGTAGTCTGCAATGGTTTCTTTCATCATAATTCCATGTCCATAAACTAGCAGATCATCTATGATCACTTTCAGGAAAATCACTGACTATCTCATGCTGTCTGTATTGATACTCTTGTGAAGCAGTGAAAATGACAAATGTTAGCTTCTCAAACAACATCTAAAAAAACAGTCAGAAAACTGCTACTTTCATCCAACTTCACTTACCCCTTCATCAGACACAAAGCCATTTATTTTGAAGAGTACAAAGATATTTTGGATGTCTTAGCATCTTTAAGTAAATGATGGTTCTCACGTCCAGCCTGAAGAGCTGGAAAAGAAGGATTTCAATACATCCTTACTACTGCATGACAATCATTGAAAGGGAAAGCTCTTCAAGGATCTATTGAAATCCTTGGGACCAATAGATATTCTCAGCTTCCCAGGTTTTTTCATTGCCATCATGCTGCTAACCCAGTCTGTCTGTGTTGTCACTTTTTTGATTACTGCCTTCTTTTCATTTGCAGTTCTTCTATTTTGACTTTCAGGCTGGTCTGGAGAGCAGCTGGAATTCTTCACAGCAGATGCTGAATTGGTCTCACACTATCATCTACTTAGAGATGCTGTTCACCAGGAAGACATCCAAAACATTTTTGTACTTTTCTCAGTGAATGGCTTTAAGTCTGCAAACACTGCAGATCTCTTCTGGTAAGCGTGGGGTTACCAATTCAAGGTTTAGCTTTGCTTCAACTGGGATGAAGATTTCATTAGTCATCTCACGATGATGATCATACCATCGTAAAACCTCTACACTACATTAAAGGTCTTCATTTCTGGGTCATTATCTTGAGCCATTTTGTATAGGTCTGTGAAGCCTATGTTGGACATAACACCACTATCTATTTGGCACTTTACATTCACTTAACATCCTCCTACTGCAGTTATCATTCAAACAGTCACAAAGCATATATCACATTTGGACCAGACAATATCAGACTGTACTGTGGTGGACAGTATTCATCAGTATCATCGTACAGCATCTCTCCTGCAGGCATCCTCATCGGCTAGTAAAACACTTATGTGCAAAGGGATTCAACTTCCGGCAGTTACAGCAAGGCTCCACCCCCCACCCACCACACCCGCCCACCCCCCCCCCCCCCACCCAAACCCCCACCCGTTGGATTTGTTTCTTTTCTCTCACACAGTGTCCTTTACAACATTTACATTCTTTAATCAGGTCTTAATCTTTCCATTGGCCCTTCTGGAAATCTTTCTTCCCTTTTCCAATATGTTATTGTTAGGACAGGGGAGTTTCTCAGTGCAATGTAATCCTTCATTGATTCTCCCTTCAATATGTTCTAACGGATGGTTGATGACTTCAGATCTTCTGCAAGTGCTAGAAGCTTTCTTGAAAGCAATTTTCTCCTTTCTCAGCAGACATTCTCTCCCAGCAGCATCATTTATTCTTAAGACTACTCTATTTTTCAGAACAAAAGTTTTCAGTAGCCCAAACTCATAAGGTTTATTTAAATGTCTCAGCACAGTCACATACTGATCATTACTTCCCTGTCTTCCTGAGTTCTGACCTTAAAAATATGATGTGCATAACTAACATCAGTACAGGGTTCAAAATTGGCCATCAGGCCTTCATTATTTCTCCAGCCTGTCATTTCTGCTCCTCAGTGAAGTCTAAAGCATAAAATAAAACCTTTCAGTACTGTACCCCCAGCACTAATAGAAGAGTTGCCTGTCTCATTTGCTCAGGGTTTTTGCTTAAATCTTTGGCTAGCTCACCATTAGGATGGGAAGAAACTTCAACGCTATCTCATATTCCCATTCATCTCAACGGAAACAGTAACTAGAACATTCAAAGCCATTCTGACGCATGCAGGAGGTCAGATTTGTAGACTTCAGTTCTAATTATTCATTACTTTTTTCATACAGTAACTGGCTGTTGTACAACTGTCAAAATCCAAGCAATTTCAGTTGCACACTTCAATACCATGTTCTACCTGCAGGTTTTAGTGACTGCTCTCCCTAAACTGATCAGAGCTACTTCAGGGTCACATGGTTACGATAAATAACAGATTTCAGATGCATTTCTCCAAACAGACTATATTTTAGTATGCATGTATAAGAGCATTGCATTGTGCAAATACACCTTTACACACGTTACAAATCAAAACTAAAGCATCTGAGCCTTCAAATGCAGATGTTACCATGGGAATTATTTGGATTAGACATGGGATTAGAAAAGTCTATTTTTACATGAGTGAACCCAATAGTATAATCGCAAAAAAATCAACAGTCATAACTAACAATGAAATCTGTATCCAGCTATGAGTTTCATTAATAAGATAGTCTTCAGTTTTACAGACAGCAGAGCAATGTCCAGTGACATTGAGATGCTATACTTCAGTTATACAGGGATTTTTGAGACCATACCTGGAGTTTTATGCAAAAGATTTGGCCTTTTTAATTTAAGAATGTAAATGCATTGAAAGTAGTTCAGAGAAGATTTACCAGACCAGTACCTAGAATGACTGGCTTTTCCTACAAAGAAACATTGGACAGGCTAGACTTGTATCTGCAGTAGTGTAAGAGGCAACTTGATTGAAACAATCAAGATACCAAGGGGCCTTGACAAGGTAGATGTGGAGAGGATGGACCAAAGGGTCTGTTTCCATGCTATATGACTCTAGGATGTTTCCTCTCATGGGAGAACCTAGAACTAGGGGTCACTGTTTAAAGACAATGCAAGCTCATTTAAGACAAGACTCAGAAAAATATTTTTTCGCACAGATTGTTGAAAATAGTTGAAACTCTCTTTCTCATAAGGCAGTGAAAATAGAGCCTTATGTTTAAGGCAGAGGTAGAAAGATTCTTGATGAGCGAGGGGATGGAAAGTTAATGGGGAAATAGGAATTTAACGAACAAGATCAATCATGATCTCACTGATTAGCAGTGAAGCTGAAGGGGCTGAGTGGCCTCTTCTTGTTCCTAATCCATTTACTCTTATGTTTAGAAGATTGACCCTGTTGTGGTAGTATTACATTTCTTCATAAATAACAGAGTGGCTTAATGTTCAATATGACTGTGAGTGAGGCTGGTTGATGTAATTCTGACCACAGTATTGCTGAGTCAGAGAGCTACCTTATTCAAACAATAGAGCAAAGATTCTCTTGCTCATTGGTTAAACATCAGTTTTATTCCATAAATGAGACACTCTGTATAATTACAGCATTATGATTAAAAGATAATTAACTCTAAAATATAGCTCTTTGAAAAATGTTGACGCATATATTAATGTCCAAAGGAATCATGTAAATAAGTCTGTACACAGACAACACAGTGTAGAGCTGGAGGAACACAGCAGGCCAGGCAGCATCAGTGGAGCAGTAAAATTGACGTTTCAGGTCAGGGCCCTTTTTCAGAAGGGTCCCGACCCAAAACGTCAACTTTCCTGCTTCTCTGATGCTGCCTGGCCTGCTGTGTTTCTCCAGCTACACACTGTGTTGTCTCTGACTCCAGCATCTGCAGTTCCTGCTGTCTCCAAATAAATCTGTATGTTAGTTTTTATAAACGTTTCTTCTAACATGAAAATTATTCAATTTTATGTTCATTTGAAACTTGTTTAAAAAAATGACTTATACAAAATCTCTGGACATGATATAGTAACATAAATTGTGACTGTGTTGGTGGTGTCTGTACATCAATATTTGCACACAAATTGTCGATATGTGCCATGTGAGTATCTGCTGTGTTTGTATGAACAGTATCTGCATGCATGCACTAAATCGATGCTACATATTTTCTATACATTGTTTGCCTTTATTTACTATGGGAGGTCTTAAATCACCATGGAGTGGGATTTATTCTATGTCATGGTGGCCTCAACTAGTTAATTTTATCTAACCTGCATTTCAAATTTTATTCTAATCTACTCGAATGTTAATTAAAAAGATGATGCTGGTTTCTTCTCCTCATCCTTCTCCTTTTCCATCTTTGTTTGTCTTGTGAGCAGGTTTCTCTTGCAGCATTTCAGAATTTCAACCAGTTGTAATTTCTGAGTTTCAATCAACCACTCTTCCTATAAAGGAAGAAAACAGATGTTATAATGGCTGTACTAATCCCATGTTTTATATTACCCAGGGACTAATTTCTCCTTCCAGTGTGAAGTGCATTATGAGTGTGAGCAGTAGCCAATGTTGACCTTTGTCTGACCATTGAGAGACAACCAAAAGCAGTTCAAGACGACTTGGCCGCCAGTTTTCATTAGCTCACTGTAGACAATGTTGCAGTTTCACTCACCATCTCACCTTGATGTGGACACAGCCTATTAGTTCAGCACCACGCTGAGTGATAGTCCTACTCCATAGTATTTATCTGTTTTACTTTTTATTGCCTTTTATCTTCCAGTGCACAGTAGGAGAACAGATTGTGTGTGCACAAGTGAGGAAGATTAAAGCTGACAGCCCTTCTCTGTAACGTATCGTCGTAAACATGATGTTTTCTTTCAACATGAAAATGATCCAATTAATAAGCATAAGTGCAACATTACTAGATCCTGCAAGAGTTGGAATTTGCAAAACAGTTGGTATTAGAGATTTTAAAAAGTGCAACTCGGGTTGATCAAATATACAAAAAGCTCTACTTATGATGATGGGTGAGTGGGGGATCTATGGGGTTTGCTTTGGAAGACAGGTGGCTAATGATAAATATTCAAATGGAATTAGATTAATTTAGAATATCTGGTCGGCATGGACAAGTTAGACTGAAGTGTGTGTTACCATGCTGTACAACTCTATATCTCTAAGACTTGAGGAAGAACACAGAATCAATGTTTGCTTAAAATCACTTGGTATCAAAGGACAATTATATAGAACTTCTCCTTTGGGTAATGCCTATGACAGTATTGATTGTACATGGTTGGGTAGAGATGCTGAGGTATATTGGGTATAGAGCATAACAGGCTGTCTTATTGCTCATGGTGTAGCATCAATGGATTTTTCTCATTCTGTGGTGTTATTGTTTTATAATTCCTGAAAAATTGTTTTCGGAAGACTAGCCAGGAGTGCATTGCAATGGCCAAGTCTTGCATTAACAAGATGATGAAAATGATGATGGTGGACAGTGTCTCAAATTTACTAAAATGTACAAGAATCTTAGGGACTTGACAGGGTAGATGTGGAAAGGTTGCTTCCACTTGTGAGGTAGATGAGGACAAGAGGGCATAATCTCAGAAAAAGGGTCACACGTTTACAACGGAGATGAGTAGAAATTTCTTCTCTCACAGTGTAATGAATCTATAGAATTCTTTACAGTAAAGGACAAACAAGGCTGGGTTATAAGTATATTCAAGGCTGAAATAGACAGACTTTTAATCAAAAAGAAAATCGAGAGTTATGTGAAAAAGGCAGGAAAGTAGAGTTGAACAGCAATGATCTCATTGAATATGAGAACAATGTCAACGGGCTGAACTGTCCATTTTTACCCCTTCATCCCATGGTCTTATGATAAATAATGGTAGATGTGCACAGTTCCAAGTTGTTTTCTGGTTGTTACTGATGTAAAAGCCAGATCCTTACACTTTGTCTCTGTAGTGAACATTCCTTACTCTACAGAGATAGGAGATAAAATGCAAAAGGCAATGAGCAAGAAAATCTGTGACATCATACTAGACATCTAGGAATGACATTGTGACTGCTACAACATATGAAAAGCCAATTTGTAACCTATTTTAAAATCATATTCCATCTGATGAGTTTATTTTCCTGAAATTTTCAGTGTTGAACAATTAGTTCAATGGTCAACAAAAACAGAAATTGCTGGGAACACTCTCCAGGTTAGGCAGCATCTGTGGAGAGAAACTAAGTAAATATTTCAAGTCAGCAACTTTCCAAATGTTGCTGCACCTACCATGTGTTTGCTGTATTTTCTGGATTTTATTTCAGATTTCTAGTGTCCATAATGTTTTGCTCCTTTGTTAGTGAGCTGATCTCAATACAGCTCCTCTGACAGAATCTCCCAAACTTATGTCCTCTGTTACTGAGAAGGACAAGGCAGCAGGTGAACTGGAACACCAATCCCTGAAATTTCCACTTCAAGTCACAAATCTTCCTGACTTGGAATTGTATCATTGAACCTTCATTGTTACTGGGTCCACATCCTGAAACTATCTCTCTAATAGGACTGTAGGAATCCCTACACCCTAAGGGCTACAGCAGTCAAGAAGGAAGTTTACCACAACCTCCTCAAGGGCAATTAGGAATGGACAAGAAGTGTTGGCTTAGGAAGTGACACCCTCATTCTGTGAACAAATTAATAAAAAGGACAAGATCTGTAACTGAGTCTGCTTTGATGGGGAGGTGTTGATTTGGACAGGTCACATCCTGATTTGATTAACAATTAAAATATTAGCAGTTTTAATATGGGATGATGTTCGTAACGTTTTGAAACTTTAAGGAGTACACATGCTTGTAAAAATTGAGAGAGGGTAAGGATTAACCCAGAGACCAAAGTCTTTTGTTTCAGAAAACCAATCTCTGCAGAGATGTTCTTTTTCTTTCCTCTGAAGAGATGTGTGCTTTGGGAATATTTAGAGGGATAAGCATTCATCCTTCTATATTACTGAGTACGTATGTTAACCGATTGTTGTTTCTTTATTGACTAAGTTTGTTTTGTTAATAAGCCCATAATTGTGTTTGTTAAGCAATTCGTTTAATAGATCTTGTTTAAATCGTAATAAATGAACATATGACAAGGAGCATGAGTAGGCAATTCAGTCCCATGAGTTTGCTCTGCCATCAAAAAGGTCATGGCTAATACAATTTTAACCTGTCTACCCCAGACAAACTTTCACCCGTTTGTTTAATAAGAATCTATTTACCTCTGCTTTAAAAATATTCAAGGACTCTGCTTCCACCGTCTTTTCAGGAAGAGTGTTCCAAAGAATCAGGACCCTCACAGAGGAAAAACTTTTGCTGAATCTCGGTTTTAAATAGATGACCATTGACTTTCAAAAGTGACCCATAGTTCTCGATTCTCCTGCAAGAGGAAACATTCTCTCCAAAATTACCCAGTCAGACGCCTTAGGATCTTAATAAAAACTGAAAGAACTGCGGATGCTGGAAATCAGAAACAAAAACAGAAATTGCAGGAAAAGCTCAGAGGGTCTGGCAGCATTTGTGGAGAGAAATCAGAGTTAACATTATGGGTCCAGTGACTCTTCCTCAGAAACTCAGGATCTTATATGCTTCAATCAAGTTACTTCTTAGTCCAGCAGACGCAAGCCTAATCTGTCCAACCTTTCATCATTAAACACCCCACTCATTCTAGGTAACGTTCTGGTATTTTCTGAACTGCCCGCAATACTGCCTTCACTGCATTTATATCCTTCCTGAAGGATGTGCTTTTGCCAGTTTCATGTACAACTGAAGCATAATTGCTCTACCTTTGTATTCAATTCATCATGCAATAAATGCACCTTCACATTTTCTCACACTACACTCCTTTTGCCAGATTTTTGCCCACTCAGTTAACTTATCTCTATCTTTTTGTAGCCTCCTTACGTTATCTCTACAAATTTATTTTCCTATCTATCTTGGAGTCATCAGCAAACTTGGTTGCATCTGTGGAGAGAAACCCACACCTTCCATGCCTTCATCCAAGTCATTTATATAAATGATGAACAAGTATAGTCCAAGCACTTTCTGTGACACACCACTTGTTGCATCTTGCCAATCTGAAAAAGACCCATTTATACCAGCTCACTGCTTCCTGCTAACCAGCTAAGCCTTTTTTCCATGCCAAGATGCTACACCCTCAGCTGTGAGGTTTCATTTTCCACAAACAGAATATATTATGTGATACGTCATCAAATTCCTTCTAGAAATCTAAATGTGGTACAACTACCAAATCACCTTTATCCACAAAACGTGCTACCCCTCCAGGAACTGATACATATGAAGTATATAATTTGCTATCTTGGTAACTTGGACAAGTATTTTTATTTTATGACCACAGAATAGTGGAGGCAGAGTGATAGAGCACTCACTCAGCGTCAGGTAAAACAGTTTATGTTTTCACAATGCAATAAGACATTAACAACTGAACTAATAATCAGGAATTAATTACACCTGAGACTTACAACGTTTCTTGACTCTCTGTTTTGTGCTTTACTCATTCATGGGATGTTAGGTCAGTTAGGTCAACATTTGTTGCTCATCCCTAATTGCCCTGAAAAGGGAAGGTAATGTGACTTTGAACCATTGCAGTCCCTGGGGTGCAGAGACACCCACAGTGTTATCGGGAAGGATGTGCCAGGGCTTTGATCCAGTGACAATGATGGAACAGCGTTATGGGATGGTGTGTGCTTTGGAGGAGAACTTGTAAGTGGTGTTATTCCCATGTGTATGCTGCCCTAGGCCTTTCAGATGGTAGTGTTCCAGCATTTGGAAGATGCTATCGGAAGAGTCTTGGTTGAGTCATTGCAGCAAAACTTGTAGATGGTGCACACTGTGCATCAGTGGTGAAGGAAGTGAATATTGAAAGTGGCAATAAATGTGCCAATCAAATGGGCTGTTTTGTCCTTGATGGTGTCAAGCTTCTTGAGTATTGTTGGAGCTGCATTTATCCAGGCAAGTGGGGAGTATCCCATCATACTCCTGACCTGTGCCTTGTAAATGGGAAACAGGACTTGGGGAGACGGGAGGTGAGTTACTCATCGCAGAATTCTTAAATCTGATATGCTCTTGTAGCCACAGTATTTGCATGGCTAGTCCAGTCCAGTTTATGGCATCCAGGATGTTGATAGTGAGGAATTCAGTGATGGTAACATCATTGAATGTAAAGGGACAATGAATAGATTTTCTCTTATTGGTGATAGTCATTGCCTGGTATTTGTATGATGTGAATATTACTTTCCACTCATTTGCCCAAGCCTGGATGTTACTCAGGTCTTGCCACATAAGGATATGCACTGCCTCAGTATCTGAGGATTCTGATATAATGATGGAGGGAAGATCAATGATTAAGCAGCTAAAAGTGATTGTGCTTAGGACCCCACCCTAAGGAACACTTGCAGTGATG